TGCCTACTCAGCCCAAAGTAGCACTTGTTGGCAAGAGTGATTCTCCGATTCTGATTTCAAGGCTGACATTATTATTGGTGTTAATGCTGGTTGCCAAATAAACGAAGTCGTCTACTTTTTCAAACCTGTAACTGTCAGCAGTAACGTGGGTGCCAAAACGGGCATGCTCTGACTGTTTGTGTCAGTGCAGGAGATACTTCGTTTTGTCCTCGTTGACCACCAGACCCATTCGCATCGCTTCTCTATCCAATCTCGAGAAGGCAGAACAGACGTAGCCCTTGTTTTTACCGATAATATCGATGTCGTCGGCATACGCCAGAAATTGTACGCGTTTGTAAATTATTGTTCCTGAGCGGTTCAGTTCTGCGGCTCTTATTATCTTCTCCAACATCAGATTAAAGAAATCACACGAAAGGGAGTCCCCTTGTCTGAAACCTCGTTTGGTATCAAACGGCTCGGGAAGGTCCTTCCCTATTCTGACGGAGCTGGTGGTATTGCTCAACGTCATTTTACACAGCCGTATTAGTTTCGCGGCGATACCAAATTCAGACATCGCGGCATAAAGGCAACTTCTCTTCGTGCTGTCGATAGCGGCTTTGAAATCGACAAATAGATGGTGTGTGTCGATCCTATTCTCGCCTGATCTATGGTGGATTTTCCAGGCCACACTGATAAGGTCCAATTAGCTCGTTGACGGTGGGCTTCAGTCTTTCGCACAATACACTCGATAAGACCTTATAACCTATGCTTAGAAGGCTGATTCCGCGGTAGTTGGCGCGTATGGCGGGGTCGCCTTTCTTGTGGATTGGGCAGATCACACTTAAATTCCAGTCGTGGGGCATGCGTTCATCTGACCATATTCTGCACAAGAGTTGATGCACGCACCTTATCAGCTCCTCGCCGCCGTACTTTAATAGCTCGGCTGGCAGGCCGTCAGCTCCAGCAGCTTTGTTGTTTTTCAGCCGCGTAATCGCTATTCGTACCTCGTCATAGTCAGGCGGTGGGACAGCTACTCCATCATCATCGACTGGGGACTCGGGTTCGTCTTCCTTACTACTTTCAGCGCTGCTACCATTCAGTAGGTTATAAAAGTGTTCCCTCCACAATTTAAGTATATTCTGGACATCGGTCACTAGGTCGCCATTGTTGTTCTTACAGGAGTTCGCCCCGGTCTTGAAACCTTCCGTAAGTCGCCTAACCCCCTGGTAGAATTTTCGGGCGTTCTTCCTGTTGGCCAGCATCTTAAGCTCTTCGTACTCACGTATTTCGGCCTCTCTCTTCTTATTGCGGCAAATACGTCTCGCTTCCTTCAGTTCCCTATAACGGTCCCACATGGCTCGCGTTGCGCCCGATCGCAGCGTGGCCCTGTAGGCGGCATCTTTTTTCTCTGCGGCTTCTTGACATTCCTCATGGTACCAGTTGTTCTTTCAGGCTCGCTGAAATCCAACTACTTCTTCGGCGGCGGTACTTAATGATCGGGAAATGTGGTTCCACTACTCGCGTATGTCGGATTGTTGAAGAGTGCTCAGAGAGCAGGTGTGTGAGTCGAGTGGCGAATAAATTGGCCGTCTGTTGTGATTGCAGCTTTTCGACGTGAAGCTTTCCTTGCATTGTTGGGCGCACATTTTTTGCTGCGCAGAGGCGGGTGCGTATCTTGGCTACAAGGTAGTGGTCCGAGTCGATGTTTGGCCCTCGGAGTGTACGTACGTCTAAAACGCTTGAAGCAACATGATCGATTTGGTTTCTCGTTTTTCGATCTGGAGATAGCCATGTAGCTTGGTGGATGTTCTTATGCTGGAACCTAGTACTACATATTACCATGTTTCGGGCCCCGGCGAAGTCGATCAACCTGTCCGTTATCGGACTTTTCGTCGTGGAGGCTGAATTTTCCGACAGTGGCGCCAAACCTTGGCATTAAAATCGCCAAGCACGATTTTGACATCGTGTCGGGGGCAGCGCTCATATGTACGTTCCAAGCGCTCATAGAAGAGATCCTTGGACGCCTCATCCTTCTCTTCCGTCGGGGCATGGGCGCAGATGAGCGAGATGTTGAAGAATCTAGCTTTGATGCGGATTGTGGCTAGACGTTCGTCCACCGGTGTGAGCGCCAGTACTCGGCGACGGAGTCTCTTTCCTACCACGAACCCAACACCGAATTTGCGCTCCTTTACATGGCAACTGTAGTAGACGTCGCAAGGCTGCACGCTTACTCTTCCTTGCCCCATCCATCGCATTTCTTGGATGGCGGAGATGTCAGCTTTTGTCTTCCCGAGGACATCAACCAGCCGGGCAGAGGCACCTTCCCCATTAAGGGTCCGGATATTCCAGGAGCATACCCTTAAATCATAGTCTTCTATACGTTTGCCGTGGTCGTCATCAGAAAAAGGGGGTCTCATCCGAGGCTGTTTTTTCTCTTTCATTGGGCGGGGTTTTAACGTGGCGGGACCCAAATCCAGCACGCACGCACGCGAAGTTTTACGCTTTCTCACTTCAGCTCGCTCCCAAACGGGTGTTTGGTTGCTACCCAGAGGATACGTGGATTATCTGGACGTTGTGAGCTGCGATTTGAACCATACACACAATAATCGCTTCTGACCACTACCAGGTGAACGGCAGTCAAAAGTTTTCCACTTCTGCGCACGGAACCATAACCATAATCATAAGTTAAGTTAAGTTGTCATAATCATGCTTTTAGTCTTCCCCAATTCCCAAGAGGATTTTTTAATTTAAATGGCGGAGTTGAGCTGTCAAGAAAGTGTCAAACAGCTCTTTCGAAGTTCGAATTTCCTCCCAAATTCTCGAGGAAAATGCTACTCCCTGGGAGTTAATTATTAGAGGATTTCTTTCCCGGGAGAAACAAATCCCCGGAGAACAAACTCCCCGGGAGTATTCAGAATTGGGTTGATAGTCTTCACAAGGACATCAACCATCCGTGGAGGCGCATTCCCCATTAAGAGGAGTCCAGACATTCCAAGTGCATAGCCTCAAATCATAGTCCGTTAAAAGTTTTCCCGGGGCCGTCCTAAGCGGAGGCATTCGGCCCTGTTCCTATTGCCGTTGACGTTAAAACGGAATAAAAATGATAATTGGGCATCATCGTTGCCGTTATCGACATTTATCGGAAATATATAATGCAATCCTCCATTTTCAAATTAAGACAGTAACGACGTGGAAACATTCATTCACCGCTATTATGGTAGTCGTAAGTCGTTCGCATCGACAGTCGTTTACTGAATTATGTCGTCAATAAAAACATTGACTTTGAATTGTGACTGTTTTTGATTTAGGGTGCGTTATGTATGTACATACTATGTACACCCGAGACCTTGAGAACCAGAGGTACAGCTCAAAATGCATTACTATAATCGAAACGGTCACGCCCTTTTAGGTTTATTTTGCTATAATTTGTAGCACGCATAGGTCAATGAACCTTTCATCAGTAAATGACCGTATTTATTATTTATAGATCCTCCTTTAAAATATTATTATTACTAAAAAGAAGTTTTTTTTTTGTAGATAGGCTCCTCTGGCTCGAATGGCCTTATATGTATGTATGTCTCCGTCTAGCCCAAAAACGTCCAATTAGAAAATAATTAAATATTTCATTATTAATTAACTTCCTTTTTACGGTTAAGGGCCAACAATTTAGGAACGACGCGTCAATTCATTAACTAAATGAATATGGGAAAGTGGATTAGGTTTCGGACGTTTCCCACAATATTTTACAAGTTTATTTTACAAGTTAATGTATTTGGTTTTCGAATTTATAAATAAGGAATTCGTAGTCTAGCCGTTGCAGCTCTTTATTTGAAACTACATACTTTTACAAATCCATTGAATATCATTATCGTATGTATGCATTTAATTCACAATGCACTTACATGTATCCCAAAGGATAGTTACGTAACTAGTGATTAAAAATAATTTATGCAGTCATAGGGTTATAATTGCCAATATTAATAAAATGTTTATGTGTCCACGGAAAAATCCAGCTCAACTCCTAAAATAAATGCATTCCTAATCTTCATTTGTTTCTTCTTCTTCCTCAACCTCTTCCTCTGGCTCCTCTTCTTCATCGTGGTCATTCTGCTCTTCTACTGCTATTGCGGTTTCCTCTTCTTCAGCAGCGGCTTCGTTTTCTTCGTTGTTATCCTTGGCATCGCTGCCTTCAGTTTTCTTTTCAACATTTTTGCCAGATTCCTTAATCTTCTCCTTATCTTTGCCCTTCTCCTTTTCTTTGTCCTTATCCTTATCCTTCTCCTTCTCCTTATCTTTGCCTGACTTGTCATTTTCTTTAGTTTTATCTTTTGCATCCTTTTCTCCGTCCTTATCTGATTTATGATCCTTGTCTTTTTCACTTCTAAAGTAGGGTGCTACACGATGGTAAATGGCGGATAGCGTACCGTGTTGATCCCTATATTTACGCTGCAATTAGGTTGGAAATTACTATCTGGTTAAAGGAAAAATATTCAATTATAAGTACTTACGTTCAACGCGAATAAATCTTGATCTGTATCGGAAAGTTTCCGACTCAAACTTTTAACCTCGGACTGCAAGTCTTTGACTTTGTTGCTAGATTTGTTATGATCTCTCTGCAAGTCAGTGTGCTGTTTTCGGAGATCATTGTACAATTTTTCCAAGTCGCCATAGTTCTTTTCGGTGCGCTTGATTTGTTCCAATAGTTTGCCAACGTGGATAACAATTCCATTATAGTTGACAAGACCTGAAAATGAACGGCAAACTTGAATGGAAATATCCAACAAATTTATAAAATCATATAACTACCGTCATCATCTGTATCGATTTTGGAAGCGGTAGCATTTTCTACAATTCTTCCGCTGGTGCTTGGCTCATTTTCAAGTGGTAAATAGACGTTGTTTCCCAGAGCAATTTTCTTTAACTCCTCGCTGGGTATATCGTCTTCGTCCTCAATTTTGGGTGGTGCCTCTTTAGATTCCTCCTTTTCGGTGAGTTTTCTGAAATTCACAATTCATTGAATATAAAGGAATATTTTGTGTTTATACTAAGCATATTACCGGTAATAAAATGCCTGTCGTATAGATAGTTTGCCAAGCATCTTGCGTATCTGGCCACGCGATAAATTTAAACCCAAAACGGTGAATAAATCCTCCAAATCCTTTTCAAATATGTAACCACAATGAGTAGTGTCGAAATAAATAAAAGACAGTAAAAGATGTGGCTTCACAACAATCATTTTTTTTGTCAGAAGCATGTTCTTTTTCCCGGTCCCTCTCCCTTTCCTTGCCGTTAGTGGCTGCTGTGGACTTGTGTTTGCGGTCATTCGTATTTTTAGATGGCGTTTCGGTATCGGCTTCAACATCAACACTACGTTTTGAAGCTCTACGCTCCGATACCGATTTTTCTGCGATACCATCAGCGTTGGGTTTTACATCTGTGGTTGCTTTAGACTCTTCATCGACTTCCATGGCTTGACCATCTTCTGTTTTATTTCCACTGTTGGTTTCATCATCATTTTTATCTTTTGCCGCATCGGCTTTTTCATCGTTATAAAGGTACATCTCTTTGTAGATATTGAAGCCGAAATCGCGCATTAACATCTCGTTAAATAATTCGGCAAAAATTGAAACCTTTAGAATAGCACAGTAGAACATTTTACTAAAGTATACTATGTTTTTAATCAGCTTTGAGTAAAAAAGCAAAAAAGGATCTCTTGTGTTTAACGATATTTATATAATGACCGATACAATCGGCATGTTTAATGTTGTTTAGTCAATACCCTTGCTCAAGTGTTTATCGATGTGATATCAATATACTCAATACTTTTAAAGCCCTGATTCTAAAGTTCCTAAACTAAATCTAGTAAAACCAATAACATATGTATTTGTGATCATTGACATCGATTACGGTTACATTATTATTTCCC